CAACGTATAGATTATTTCCTGGTCAATTCGTTTGCCAGATGACAAATAATATATTTCATTTTACCAATCTAGATAATTTAAAATGACGTCCACATGAAATATTAAATCGACTAACCTGGTAAATTCAACCAAACCATTTTTTTTTAAAAAGAAGATAATAATCCAATTTAGGAAAAACGTTCGGACAATTAAAACAAAAAATGACATCTTATAGTTGTTTCAATCAGAACAAAAATCGACCAAATAATAAAAATCAATTATACGTTTCCATAAAACCGCATAAATATCATTATTTGTATTTTCCTAAAATATATTCATTTTTATTATGTTGTGTGTCAATTGAAACTTTGCGCGGAAATGTGTTAATCAAAACACAGATTTGATCGCATTCACGGTGTCGGCGAATAAAATCAATTTATTTCACGTGCTGGTTCAGATTAATTTGTTTTCGTTTGATAAAATATTACCATAGTATTTTATTATCACCATATCAGACTGATTATATATTTCGAAAATGAAATATTTCATCGATTTGTTTTTTCATCTCACTCCTATTTAAAATTAAATTCTACATGTAAAATTAGTATTATTCATAGTATGGAAACGTGACTCAACTTTTAGAAACCAACTCAACCTTTGGTGAACAGGAAATAACTTGAGTTTAGATTTTAAGTATGTCCTTTTTAGTCGATACAAGTAAAAATAAATGCAAAATTAGATGCTGGAAACAACATCTAATTCAACATATAAATATCAGCAAAACCCTGCTGATATAAAAATACTTCTCTGTTGCGTACAAAACGTTTAAAAAGTGACACAAAACGCAAAGAAATTTATTATACAATCTTGCCACAGAAGAATCAGGACCAAAAAATCAAAACTAGTAAACAAATTATAAGATGAAGTGTGCAACACATGTCGTTCAGCTGGTAATCTTCGTTTTCTTGTATTCCTCGAGAATTCCCGACATCATCATTCAGAGATCTTTCATTAATGTAAATGAATTACCTGAAAACGGACTGTCTTCGTTCAAACTATCATCCCGCATGAACAAACAAAATTTCGTTATTAATCCATCAGATGACGGTGAATTGAAATGCAATGTTAAATTCGATTCCGAATTTTTGTATTTAGATGAAACTGATTCTTGGGCAGTTTTATCTGGTGAAATACCATCTGCATTTGAATGGACGTGTTTTGAATACATACATCCAGATGATGCTATTTTTCGTTACGCATTCGCTAAAAATGACGGTGAAGATTATAAATTTTTGATGGAAAAAGAAGAAGGATTGCTTGGACTCAGTGAGTCAATGGATATTTCAAATATTGACAACAACCATGTATTCGTACATGTGTATGATGAGTCACGTCTTGGAAATATATTGAAATCAAACGTTGACGAAAGAGTAGTTGGTACCGAACAGCCCGAAGATATGCCGAATCCTCCAACTTACTTACAGCTGAAGACGATAAAAAAGGAAGCGTCTGTCGTTTCCATATGTATATCGAGTTCAAATTGTAATACACAATAGAATACATATATTTTCACTATTCAATATTTTTGGATACATGCATGATACAATAATCGTATTTGTATTTTATAGCATTGCACAACATGTTTTGGTACTCTCGAAGTATGTGAACCAAAATGGCGGACACCGTAACGTAGTATGTGTACCAGAAGGGGGTTCGGCCTTAATTTCAGGTACAAACTTGGCTAGTCAGAGTCACTTGGCTAGTGCTCGAACTGGTAATAAAACTAAAATAAGGAAAAATAGAATACAATTTTGGCCTAACCCTGACCTGGTACACATATTACGTTCCGGTGTCCGCCATTTTGGTTCACATACTTCAAGAGCACCCACGTTTTATATTTGAGGATTTGTAATATATATTTGTTCCATTTTTTTAATTTCGTATTCTTCCATGTATGCCTTTTATATCTTTTCCCGACTATGCAATAATAATACTCAATATTCTTGAATACTTCATGATCATTAACCGTTTTTATTGTTTATAAACTTATTCCTTTATCACTCTATTAGATTTAAGTAAAACTGCAAACAAAATTTAATAGTTTTTTTTATTTTTGCAAATGGTATAGTACTTTATTTTCGAATTATGAAAATGGTAATGTAATAACTAACAAATTTCCAAAGCTCAGATACATTGAAGCAAATGTTAATTCGCGAAGAAAGATGTAAGGTTCAGGAAAATCCGCAAATACGAGTCAAATTTTCAGCAAATCAAGCGAATCGCATAGCGAATATGGTTTCCAACTCGTCAGTAATAAAATAACATACATAATGACACGAGTCAAGCCGCCAAAAATGGCTCTTTCAACTGTTTCGAAAAGATTCCAGTGAATATTTATAATTAATCATTTTAGGACACTTATTTCACACATGTTGTCGGGAAATAGGAAGTTGTCGCTTATTGCGGTGAACAATTCTCAAAAAAGCAAGCTTATTGAAATTGAAAAAGCTTTGCTTTTACCAGAAGCCATTTGATAATATAAAGACTCAAACACGTAAATGATATTCGGCACAACAACTTAAATATTCAAAGCATTCCAGAATAGCATCAGGCATTTTTTATCTTTCTTGCTCAATTTTCCTTATTTAAAAAAAAATTGCAGCATCACACGGATTGCTGATTATGAACTGCAATGAATTCTTACTATTTGTGACATTTATGGCTAATATGTAAAATATCACCGATGTGATAGAAGATAAATATGACTTTTCAAGCGAAATTGATTTTATATGTTCAACAGTAAATTTTAATTTGGTGTATATACTCTCATCCTCCCGCATGAACGAAAAATAAAATTTCGTTCTTACTGCGTCAAGCGTCGGTGAATTCAAATTCAATGTCAAATTCAACTTAGAATTTATGTATGTTGATGAATATCATTCTACGGCAGGTTTATCTGGTGAAATATCATCTGCATTTGAATGGATGTGTTTTCAATACGTACATCCAGATGATGCTAATTTTCGTTACGCATTTGGTAAATATGACGGTCTAAATCAGTGTTTCCCAAATTTTTTTCTGCCAGCGCTCTCGGAAACGGAGACCAAAATTTTAATAACTATATTCAAAAATCATATTTAATATGTTTTATTTGCGCTTGAACTTCTGTTTGCGTATGATAAATCTAACAAGTTTTGCAAACTTTCGAACCACTCACTTAGTTTTCTGCTGCAGCGCACCTTCTGTCAAGACATGGGAAATGAAAGATTTCAAACGGTGAATACAGAACATTACGTGGTCGTGCCGAGAAAAATATGCACATGACTTGAGGAATTGATAGAAGTGACCAGCAGTGGTTCCAGCGTGACAAGGCGACCTCAACACATCAAATCAGACGTTTGCTTTCCTGAGAGAAAAGTCAGCAATGACATCCAGTGGGCACCTTAATTATCGGACTGAAACCTCTCAGATTTTGATATTCAAGGTGATCAAAGGAAAATTTGTTTCAGGACAATTTCAAACGATTGGTGAACTCAAGGCTGCAATTGCAGAAATAAAATAGAGAAATACCCAAAGAAGAGTGATTGACAATGTTGCAGAAAATCGATTATTCAAGTAAAAATGTCTCTCTCCATTTATCAGGAAATTCTTTGACATAAAAGTGAACGTGTAGCTTCAACCTTCCTTGTATCGTTTATTGTTTTAAATGCCATAGTCATTGCTCTGGTATCATCGGTACAAGCTCACGTGAAGACTTTCATTGCTCCTTGGGCACTTTTTCAAGCTTTTGCGCCACCTTAAATGTTTTTATACTGTTGATTGTCATTGAATTGATTATGGATTATAATAGTCTCGTTTCCTACTTTTGATAGTGCATTGAACTGCGATAATGCTGGCTAAAAAGGGCATGGTATGATAAACCTCGTATAGATTATTTCCGGGTCAATTCGTTTGCCAGATAACAAATAATATAATAAAACAAATGTTTCTCAATGAAGGAAAAAGTTTGAATAATTCTATTTGTACGATAAACACTTGGATAATAAAATAGTTTTTTCTATTAAAAATTTAAAAAAATATAGCTAAAATCAATAAAATGAATTAGTTTCGCATTTCCAAAAAATCACATAAATATCATTATTTTTTTTATTCAACAAATATATAATTATTATTATGATGCTGTGTGACAATTGAATCACTGCACGGAAATATGAAATCGCGAAATCAGAATACATATTTGATCGCAGTTAGGGTGTCGGGAAGTTCTGGAATATATTAATTTGTTTTGGTTTTGTAAATATCACTTTAGTACTTTATTATCGCCCCCTCATACTAACAATTTGAATTGCAAACAAAATATTTCATCGATTTTTTATTTCACATCTATCTTAAATTAAATTCTTGCTGTAAAAAGAGTATTATTCATATTTTGAAAACGTGACTCAATTTTGGAAACCAACTCAACCTTTGTTGAACAAGAAATAACTCGAGTTTAGCTTTGAATTATGCCCTTTTTAGTTGATAAAAGTAAAAATAAATTCAAATCTAGATGCTGGAAACAACATTTAATTCAACATATAAATATTTAACAAAACTCCGCTGGTATAAAAATGAATACTTGTTGCGTACAAAACATACAAAAAGTGCATTAAAACCCCTTCAGTCACGCACATATATCCAATTCAGAAAAAAATTATTTTTTATTACAAATTGACTCATTTTTGGTCATCTTTGACAAAAATATTGAAAAAAAAAATTTTCTACCCCTCATATGCAAATTAGGGGATGTGTACAAATGTACACTTTGTGTCAAAGTCAAGAAAAAGTTGCTGAAAATTGAAAGAAATCAACAAATGAAAATTCTTAAAAAAACATCGAGTTAATTTGCAATCGTCTTAAAATTGTCTTTTGTTTCACGAAAGTTGTGAAAACGACCAAAATAAATGATATCTTGATTGAAAAATCAAGTTTCTAGAGTACAGATCTGTTAAGATTTTTTCAAATTTTTTTTTTTTAAAAGTTCACTTGCTATGAAAACTCAAAAAGCAATTCTTCTCTTTTGTGAGGCACAAGAAGACGTTGCACTTGTTGCATTTAACTCTACTTCTTCCATTGCAACTCTCGTATTTGCATCTCTGGCCTAATCCATTGATGCAAGATGGAAAATGCATAAAACCATCATATCTAACATCTCCAACAGGTCGCTCTGATGATTTGCGCCTCTTAGCCAAATGTGGCACTTGTCTTTCTGTTTGAACTTGTTTTGAAGTAGAACGCGGTCTTCCGACAGTGGGACTCTTCACCAATGCCGTGGTAAACACGTTAGCTTTGAGCAAAGCAAATGCAACCTCGCTTCTGTATTCCAGTAGGTCCATGATGCGTGACCTTGGAGTTCCATTTGCTCGTTCAATATCGCGATATTGTAGCCACGAGTTCGCTAGCGCAAAATCCATGAAGTGGAAAATTACTCTAACTGGCCACTTCTTTGTTTTAGCTTTGGTCCTGTACAGCGAAATGAGGAAATCTAGTTTATCGACTCCTCCCATATTCTCGTTGTACACCTGAACACATTTTGGCCTTTCTACCATGATGTGTTCTTTTGTGCTGGCTCTCCACTGTCGCACCTGATCCTTTTCGTCAACGCCAGCGAAGCTTGAAGCAAGTGTTACAGCGCCATTATTCATCCAACGGACTACACAAATATCACCTTTGTCTGATACCTTGTAATCGATTGCACCTCTTCCTTTCTTCTTGAGGTCTTTTTCAGATTTTAGTTCACACCCCATCAGTTTGATTGCTTTTAACAACTCCAAGTGAATGAATGCCTCTTGATTTTAATTCTCTTATCAGTGGAATTCCGGTGAAATAATTGTCAAAACAAACTTTGTAGTTCTTTTGTTTTGGTATGGTCTCCACCAAGCGTAGAACCACAGATGCACCAAGTTAGTGCTTAGTTTCATCCGGAATTCCTGTGCCGGCACCTTGATAAATTTCAAAATCGACTGCTCGCCCAGATTTACCACAAATAACAAAATTCTCGAGACCAACAGGATTGGGTTTAGCTTTGACGAATTGTTTAGCAGGTACTCTACCAGTGAAAGGAATCATTTGCTCATCAACCGCATTAAATTCCTCACGAGGCAACTGGATGCAACGATTTCGAACTGCATTAATAACTGGCTTCACCTTCCAAAACTTACAATTTTCTCCAGTAGGAGGTTGTCTAGCCGCATTCACGTGTAAGCTATTACGAAGCAGGAAGTATCTATTAACGGGCATGGATTCAGCAATCTTGTCAACACTATTCACTTTTTGCCAATACATCCGAAGTCGTGGGAAACCCAAGTTAGCCATCACAATCGACGCCCCAAAAAAGCGACATATTTCGACTGAATTGGTACCAAGAATTTTGCCCTTTGCTTGCAAGTGATAAATATTTGTTTTATCCGCAAAAAGTTGAAATAGTTCTGGTTGGAAGTAGTAGAAAAAATATTTTGCAGGTGTATCTAGAGGATCAGCAGCAATTGACCTTTCTTGCCAGGTCAGAAATCCAGGCTGAAATGGATTTCTATCTGGCGAATGCCACTTTATTTTGAACTTTTTCTCTTGTTGCTTACTACTGTTTACAGCATCAGCTGGCTCCTCACTTTCTTCCACGTCTTCATTGCTGGTCGAAACTACCAGTCTGTTATTGATACTGTAGGAATTTGAATCGTGTTCTTCTTCCATATCATCTTCGGATCCAGAAAGGTCAATGTCAGACTCATCTAGTCGATCTAACACCTCTTCTGCATTCAATATCTCCTGCCTCACTAAAACAAAACCTATTTCATTGCCAGGGTTGGTATAACACTTGCTACTTTACAGCCTGGAAGAACATATTAGCATCAGTACTATTAAAGTATACCTTTAAAAATTAAAGCTTTTACTATTGCTATATACGCTTATTATCTCCCAATCACTGTTCTTTAAAACTGAGACCTTGATTTACATTACCCTAAGCTGTACTGCACTACCATAAAAATACCAAGTTAGGCTAAAGTTTGGGATAATTTTAACATAAAATTTTCTGTTATAATCAATATAATAGAGAGACTTCCGATAACAGAACTTTCAATAACACTGCAACACATGATTGTGAACTTTCCTGGTGAAATTTAAGGCCCTAAAAACATATAAAACAAAGTGATTTATTTCATGAAAGTCTGTGCTTTTTTCTCATGTTAGTCACGAAAGGTACAATTGTACACACCAATTTTTAAAAAATTCTACCATCTACATATTAGCTCAACCGAAACCAAAAACTGGATAAACGTCACCCCAAGTAGTCCTAATTGCAGTCTTAACCTAATTTATTGGCTCTACACACAAGAAAATGGTAAAAAAATTACACCGACTTACCGCTTGTTGAGCATGCTTCAGCCATCGCAATTTCCACGCTTCAAGACGACTCACCACTAGGGGGAGACATAAAACCAAACTCATAGCGCGATAGAACCGAGAAAGCTCAATTGAACACACCGTGACTAATTTCGGTTAGGTGTATTACGTGTGCTATAGCGACCGCGGAAAGTCGCTGGTACAATTGTACACGCCGTGACCGAAGGGGACGCAAAGATAGTTATTATACCAATTTAACAGAGGCGAATCAAGATTAAAAAAATCAAACTACTAAACAAATTCTAAGATGAAGTGTGCAACATATGTCGTTCAGGTGATAATCTGTGTTTTCTTCTATTTCTCGAAAATTTCCGCCATCAGCATTCAGAGATCTTCATTTATTGTAAATGAATTACGTCAAAATTTACCATGCAATGTTATATTCAACTCCAAATTTTTGGATGTAGATGAGTATAATTATCGGGCAGTTTTATCTGGTGAAATACCATCTGCGTTTGAATGGACGTGTTTTCAATACGTAAATCCAGATGATGCTATTTTTCGTTACGCATTTGCTAAAGAAGACGGTCAAAATTATAAATTTTTGATGGAAAAAGAAGGATATCTCGGGCTCAGTGAATCAATGGATATTTCAAATATTGACAACAATCATGTATTCGTACATGTGCATGATAAGAATTCTGGAAAAGATATATTGAAATCGAACATTGACGAAAGAGCAGTTGGTACAGTACTGTCCAATGTGACGTTTGAAACATACTTGGAGCTGCAAAATAAAGAAAGTGCGGCTGAAGTTTCCATATGCACGTCGAGTTCAAATTGTGATACATAATATAACACAGATATTTTCACTATTTAATATTTGTTATACACAATTTACATTACCATGCGTTTTGATACAAAGATTGCATTCGTATTTGATAATATTGTTTTATATTTTATGTTTTGTATTTTTTTATAAATATAAAAATTATGCAATTTTGTATGTTTCCTAAACTTTTTGTATCTGTAAATTTTTTTTCGTCCGTGCAATAATGATGCCCTTCATCCCTGAACATTGTGTAAATTTAAAACTCGTTTTATTTAATTAATTTTGATTTTCTTTTTTATTTCCAATACACTCACATACAACTGTGAACCAAATGCAATATTTCTTAGGATTTTTGCAAATGTGATTGTACCTTATCACCAGGTTATGAAATACTATGGTTGCAATAAATAAACAAAAGACGAATGCTCAGAGACATTGACGCAAACGTTACTTCTCGAAAACGATGGAAAGTTTAGAAAAATATGCAAATATGAATCATAGATATCGTACCATAGCAAACTGGACAGAAATTTTAGTTCAACGATGTTTCAAAACAACATACACAAATGAATGATACATAAGGATCTCCCAATTGTTTTGAAAAGATTCAAATAACTTTCTGATAACTATTTATTTTTATAATAGTGATTACAAATTGTATATTAATACATCTTTCTTCTTTCCGGCATCATTCAAACAAATCGAATATTAAGTCAAAAAAATATTTCGATAAATTTGATGAAATCTTGAAATTGTGGATTCGTTTATTTCGTTTTTTCTTCTTTACTCCTTGGCGTGATATATATTCTGTGGCATCATTGTGATCTAAGCTTCACGACGAAAATCAGTTCATTTTGATAATTTAATTCATGTTATTACATGATTTTACCACACTAGGGTCATAAATGACATGTAAATTTCCCTATTCGAAATGATATATTAATTAGTAATAAAAACAATAATGCACTCCACCTCGACTTTAAAGTGTTATGTGGTTCTCAGCTGCTAACTACAAATTACCGAAACCCGGGACTTAAGAATTATCAGACAACAAATTCATTAGCCTGATGAAACGGGACTAATATCGTACAATGTCCACATTGTTTAACACATACAAGTCTTAAGCAGTGATGAGCTGGAAGAATCGTAACAACCGGAACGCATTTAATTCGCAAAAATGTAACATATTTACAACACGACGCGGACGTTTACCGAATGTTTTGACTGTCTTAAGATAGAGTCGAAAAACTGCAATCAAATATGAAGAAATTTTCTGAAATATGGTAGTGTAGAATTACAATGATATTTATAACAATTTAATACAAACGTTATTTTAGAAAAGTACCGTATAGAATGAATTTCCATGGGGTCAAAGATAGGGGATATATCTATTACACGAGGGATCGGCAACCTTTTGTCGCTCACGAGCCAAAAATAAAGGTTGCGAGCCATTGGCGGGCCGCACATATTTTTAGAATGTTAAAAATCGAATGGATGACCGATGAATCACATTTTATCACGCAGATCAGAAGTTAAATTTTAAGCAGCGCGCGAAGATTGACCATTTGAATATTTTTTGCGCCATTAAACCATTTGCACTTAGCATCAACTTTTCTGCGTTTTGTTGTCATTTGTCTAAATTATAATTAAATTATAGGCTCATTAAACGAGTAATTGTGAATTATATACTTGCTACGTTATAATATAATTTAGTCTACATGTAAATTCTTCTGCGTAAAGAATATATTCGAAAAACAGCTATAATTTGTTACTATAATTCAGTGGAGCGTCGCGGGCCGGATTATATTGCTCCGCGGGCCGCATCCGGCCCGCGAGCTCTAGGTTGCCGACCCCTGTAATACACGTTACTTCTGAAATAATTATTTGCGTGATGTTATTTAAAAAGAATTACAAATTATATTGTAACAAAACATAAATTAATAACTAGTTTAACAAGAGAAACTAGACTTTTTGTACCATGCAATAAAATGTCCAACAACCGGAACGCCGTTCCGGTGCGTTCCGGCTACAGCTCACCACTGGTCTTAAGTCATCTCTACTTGTCCCCTTCGAAATATTCCCCATTGGCTTTGATGCACTCTTCCATACTTTTTTATTTTGAGGTGCCTCGTCACGCTGGTCTTGATACCCTCGACTCTTTGGAATCCTTTTTCCCTATGAGAATCCCTTTCAGCTTTGAAAAAAAAAAGAAATCGCAAGGGGCTAAGTCCGGCAAAAAGGTGGATGATGCAATGTGGTGATTTCCTTTGAGACCAAGAACTGTTTAACGCTGAGGGCTGTGTGGGCGGGAGCATTGTCATGATGCAAGATCCAAGTTTTTCCTGCTCAGGAAGCTCTTCGTTTTTGACGAATTTCGTTGACAATATGATGGTTAATTGAAAAGAAAACAGAAAACAGAGTGCTGTCTTTGTGGTAAACTCGCCATCTGCACCATTTGACTATTTGACTTTCATATTGGTTTGAGTCCAACATATTTCCGAAATCAAACGAAATCTCATCAGATTCAAAAGAAAATAATTGCAATGTAAAGTTTTGTCAGATCAAGTATATTTTAATGCAAGTGTTTAAACAAAAATGGTTTCCTGCATTTATCGAAAAATTCACTGAAATGCCAGGGAACGTGTAGCTTCAAGCTGCCGACAAGCGTTAAATATTATTTACATTGTATAGTTTTCAAAGCTAATGTCATTGTCATTGCTTTGGTATGATCGGTAAAATCTCAGGTGTGGGCTTTCATTACTTCTTGGGCACTTTTCAGACTTTTTACGTAAACACTTTTTACAAACATTTTTATTGCATTGGTATTGAATAAAATGTTTATGGATCATAACAATCTCGTTTCCTGCTATTGACTGTGCTTTGAACTGCCATAATGCTAGCTAGAAAGGGCATGGTATGATATACAACGTATAGATTATTTCCTGGTCAATTCGTTTGCCAGATGACAAATAATATATTTCATTTTACCAATCTAGATAATTTAAAATGACGTCCACATGAAATAATAAATCGACTAACTTGGTAAATTCAGCCAAACCATTTTTTTTAAAAAGAACATAATAATCCAATTTAGGAAAAACGTTCGGACAATTAAAACAAAAAATGACATCTTATAGTTGTTTCAATCAGAACAAAAATCGACAAATTATAAAAATCAATTATACGTTTCCATAAAACGGCATAAATATCATTATTTGTATTTTCCTGAAATATAATCATTTTTATTATGTTGTGTGTCAATTGAAACATTGCGCGGAAATGTGTTAATCAAAACACGTATTTGATCGCATTCACGGTGTCGGCAAATCAAATCAATTTATTTCACATGCTGGTTCAGATTAATTTGTTTTCGTTTGATATAATATTACCATAGTATTTAATTATCACCATCTCAGACTGAATATATATTTCGAAAATGAAATATTTCATCGATTTTTTTTTCATCTCACTCCTATTTAAAATTAAATTCTACATGTAAAATTAGTATTATTCATAGTATGGAAACGTGACTCAACTTTTAGAAACCAACCCAACCTTTGGTGAACAGGAAATAACTTGAGTTTAGATTTTAAGTATGTCCTTTTTAGTCGATACAAGTAAAAATAAATGCAAAATTAGATGCTGGAAACAACATCTAATTCAACATATAAATATCAGCAAAACCCTGCTGATATAAAAATACTTCTCTGTTGCGTACAAAACGTTTAAAAAGTGACACAAAACGAAAAGAAATTTATTATACAATCTTATCACAGAAGAATCAGGACCAAAAAAACAAAACTAGTAAACAAATTATAAGATGAAGTGTGCAACACATGTCTTTAAGCTGGTTTTCTTCGTTTTCTTGTATTCCTTGAGAATTCCCGACATCATCATTCAGAGATCTTTCATTAATGTAAATGAATTACCTGAAAACGGACTGTCTTCGTTCAAACTATCATCCCGCATGAACAAACAAAATTTCGTTATTTACAATATCCGACTTTACTACTTAGTTAGCATTTTATAATAATTATTGATGCCGACTTGTGGACGATATTCCGATTTCCATGCTTCATTTTACATTAAATCATTTCGCGGCCTAAATGTTATAACATTATTTGCGATAAATTTAGATCAAATATTAATTATTTGCGCATAATTCAAAATACCGTACTTATATGACATGCCTTCTCCGAAAATACAAAGTTATA